TTTTTTTTAAATCGTGCAGATTTGTAAAACAGCAGATTTTCTTTTATGAATAAAAAATAGCTGTGAGATAGTAATCAAAAATGAAAATGTTACAGTATCGTCTAGTCATCAGTTTCCGCGCGTTATGTATTAACGAACAGCCATTTTATCAAGCTGTAACTACGTGACCTGCTGGACACACCACAAGGATAATTTAGACGTTTTGCCATCGTCTGTTAACTGACACAAAAATTACCAGAGTTGTCGTAGGGAGTGCAAGGACCGTAACTCTGCGTGATAGTCTCGTTCAACCAGACTCTTGTTGTCTGTGCAAGCGTCTGATTGAACGAGACTACACTGCCGATACAATAATTTTTCGACCATTCAGAACTAGAGCAATGTAGCCGGTAACGTTATATCAAGAGAATTTACATCTTTAACCGGAAAGTATCAAATATTTAGGCAACCTATAGTTAGATATAAGTTTTAAATCTTACAAAAATGTAACGTTTGTTCGAGATTCGGCAAACGAGAACTTGTTTCGAGATCAAGATGGCGGAGACTACGGCCCGTGAGAGAGCTCCGCCCTCTATTAAATAAGAATTTAAACCATTCCTTGGATATATTTATCGAGTTTATCCGTGAAACTTGGTCATTTCTCGTGAGTATAGAATTTGGTTCGGTCGCAATTTAACGGTGTAATTGCGACTTTAAAGCGGTGTCAGTGGATAACTATGTGTCAGACAGTCGTAGTTATGGTTTCATTTTGTAAATAAATCAATTGTCTTCAATATTCAACCGAGGTTTATCCAATATGGACAAAGATTTGTGATTGACACGAGCTGAAAGAGAAAAGGGGGTAACGGATTTTCGTCTGTCGTTATATCCCTTTGTATATATTAGTATAGGAGACCCCTATTTTTTTTATATTACAAGTAAAGCGATCCATGCCCCTGTGAGCGTATTCGTGATCACTATATTACTGGAGGGATCCTCATCGGACGTCGGTGTCGGCTCATAAGTCAAACTGTCAGTAGTAGGGGCCTCAGTAGTCGGTGTCTCTTCAATGTGTGAGCGAGTGTCACTTTGTTTCGTCGCATAGCAGTTGATATTGGACATCGTTGTTGTTATTATTGTCAGTTAATGCGTTTACGTCGGGCTTGCATGTCGGCCATGACTGCCACGACGCTGTTTTTACATCGTTACGACAGTTTTTTTTGCCCACACTTTCGCTATTAGAGATTTTCAACGCAAGGGACACAACTCTGTAGTCGAAACGTTATTCAAAAGAAATCTATTTCAGGGAAGATAACAACATTGTCGAAATGTTATCGTGGGGAGGTGACTCTTAACACTGAAGAACGACAGTGGAATTCTTGAGTGTTTTGCTCTGCCTGGGACGGGGATCCTTAAGCTTGCCCTTGTCGGAGAATATTGTTCCCTATAAGAGGCAGATTGATAATGAAACTTCGTGTTGAGAACCATAATACCAGTATTTGGAAGAAACGGGGTAAACATTTGGAAGATTATTTGATAACGTCACTAATCCAGGTATGCAGGGTCGATTATTGAATGATGGTCTCTTGTATGAATAAAATTTCATAGATATCCTTAAATATTTATATGTAGTGATGGATGTAAAATATTAAGATATACAGTTTGAAAATCCGATCTTCCTAAAAAACTGGACAAAATAAAATGGAATGAAAATAAAAGACATATGGAGTGAAGAAAGAAATAATTTTATAAATTTTCGAGAATTATTGGAGAAGTTACGATTCAAAGATAACTGGATATCAGAATTCTCCATAGTCAAGAAGGCAATTTCTTCATGTATCAATTGGTTACAAGAAATAAAATCAATTAACCAAGAGACTCCAGAAATTGAACCCATAGTTGCAACTGATGAACTACACATAAAAATAAATAAAAACGATGAAAAGAATAATATATTGAAAGAACTTATTTTGAATAAGAAATACTATTCCAAATCACAAAATAGCTGGGATGCTGTTTATCACAATGATGACATAGATTGGGTTAAAATTTGGACTTCTTTAAAATCATCTATAGCAAACAGGAAATATAACGACTTACAATGGAAGTGCTTGCATAATATTATTTCTACGGAGGCAAAATTATTTAAAATGAGACTGTCAAACGGTTTATGTACACTTTGTCATATAATTCAGGAAAATCAAATTCATTTATTCTTCAGATGTAATAAAATAACAGAAATTTGGAAGACAGTTGACTCATTGATAAACAAAGCTTTACAGGAAATATCAAATTCAAATCAAATATACCAAATAACTGAGAAAGTTGTAATGTTATGAAGCTGTAATTTAAACCAAGAATATAATGTAATAATCAATTTGTTTGTCTTTACTACAAAGTGGCACATATGGAAAGAAAAAAATAAGATAAAATTTGATGATGAATATGAAGTTGCTGACTTCACACAGAATATTTTGAAGTGTGTAAAACAAGAACTAAGGTTTACAATCAATGCAAAATTTTGAAAGCGTTAAAATATATAAGTTACAAGCGATTTTTGCAAATTGAAATTGAAATCAACGTAAAAGAAATTGAGTAGAAAAAGACAGTGAGGAAGATGAGCGTACAAAATAGAGAAGGGAAAAAAAGATATACAGTTCGCTATATGTCCCTAAAATATGACATTTTCCAAAAAAAAAGTATTTTCAGCCCTGGAGAGGTACATTGCTTACTGGGCCGTTTCGACCTGACTGGTACGAAACTATCTTTTTTATTAAGGCAAATTTATATACCAAAGTAAGATCTAATATATTTTATGTCCATAATCAGAAGCGAGAAATGTTTTCAAAATATAGGGAATAACATCCGCTGACACAGTTCCACGGGAGGTAACTCGTAGTTCCATGTGTAACGCGATTCTGATGTGACAGCTAGGGTAAATATATCCCGATAGATATACCGCTTCGGTGTAAAACAAGAGGTGTAAGTATATGTATAATTAGCCCGTCGCCATTATGAGATGTATCTTAATTCCAATTCGGATTTTGTAGAAGCAATCCAAAATCAACTTTGTATTCAGTTTACACTGTACGAGCTGTCCAACGCTGACTCGATTTCGTCTGGTTTTATTTGGTTGTTTGAGGACGTGCCTGTCCTCGTGGTGTGTTAGACCACAGGACCTGATACGTTGTTACACCTATATTTGGACTTAATCTAAGGTGTTCAGAGTAATTTTACATGTTTTAGGGGTTAAGGTCGACTTCCGGTAAAAAGGACAGCCCAATGATCATATATATTCAATGATAAGGACGGAAAGCTCTCGATGTTGAAAAGTCGACCCCACCTAACTCTCTTGCATCAAAAACAACATTTCTAGGTGATCTACGGGAGAATGCTTAGAACCGTTAGAATGGTGGGGATTTTTCTTTTAAAATCCTCCCATAAAAATAATGCACTTTAAATGTATTCTCCCTCGGACATGATCTCTGTTTCCTCCAAAAACACACACCACTTCGGATTTTAAAACTTTTTCTCAGTCATCATACCACTTTTTTGTATATTGACGAGGTTGACGTCAGCCACGTGTCGAGACCCGTGGTGTGATTGGCCGGAACACGGGCATTTTTTCGCTACATGGAGGCTTAATGGTTCTGTGCCAAACATTTACATTTGCGCTGCTGTGTGACTATACAAACCAAGGAGATGGCGTTTCGTGTCATTACACTATACAGTGAGTAGTAATACATAACTTAAAAGTAAAAACAATGTAGAAGTTTAATTCTCGTTTGAAATTATTTTTATTAATGGTTATGTTAAAATACAAAATAAAGTTAGTGATAAAATGATGTTTTACCGCTATTGTGTCCACAAAGTATTGGAGTGAGTTCTAACATTTAACCCACGAGTTCTACCAAGTATTGGAGGGAGTTCTAACATTTAACCCACGAGTTCTACCTAGTATATACGAGTTTGGTATTCTGTTGCTCCCTTTACACGGAATTTAATAAAGACTCGTGACCCGCGGTTGTACATGAGGTAATTTCGCACTGTTGATATTGGTAGGGTGTACTTACAGTCAGACAGCCAGTCTAGTGCTATACACAGACAGTGCACTTACAAGTAAAAATAAAGTTTCTGAACGTTTGGGTATTTTTTTTTTGCCGAGCGCGCTCCTCCAATCAATTGTATAGTAATAAGTTCGATCACAACAAATAGAGGTAAATATAACAATGTCATTGGTTTAACAACATTTCAGAGGTGTGAGGTAAATGTCCTGGTAAGACATATGTCGTTATGATGTATAAAGTGCGTCATCTCTATAACGTATGTCATTCCAACATGGCATTGATCGTGACGTCCAGCAGATTTTTCATACACTTGAACTAAATGTAACACTGATTTCAAATGCTGTAACGACAGTAAAATTGATGACATAATGACATACTTAGTCGTCTTCAGACAAAAATCAGTCAGTTTGATTCCTACCGCGCTCACCCTTAACATCTTTATAACTTTCAATTTGCTAATGGGAATTGCATTCTTTTGAGAGAAAATCTTGTAATTCCACGTAATTGTCAAGGAAACATCTTCACTCTGACAAACGTTTTCTCTGTAACAAACAGCTTATCACTGACAAACGTCTTCTCTGACAAACAGCTTCTCTCTGACAAACAGCTTCTCTCTAACAAACACCTTCTCTCTGACAAACACCTTTTCTCTGACAACCACCTTCTCCCTGACAACCACCCTCTCCCTGACAACCACCTTCTCCCTGACAACCACCTTCTCCCTGACAACCACCCTCTCCCTGAAAACCACCTTCTCCCTGACAACCACCTTCTCCGTGACATCCTTACCTTTCTGACAGACACACGTTTCATGTGCGACCCCTGTCACCTATTTCTTAGTCTGTACTACAGGGTAGTATTCGTCCATCCTTATCTCACCGAATATTCTCTTCATCCCGTATGGTTTCTTCATCCTTTTTTCGGTCGTTACTTCTCCGTCCTCGTTTCTATTGAGCAATGTGAAGTAAGAGAATTCAAACGGCTTCGTAACAGTCTTATCAAGTGGCACGTGCTTGAAATACTTGTTGCGCGCATCTCTAAGAGCACGCATGTACACGTTCCGGTGTAGATTCTGGTCCACCGAGTACTGGTGCATAGGTACCTGGTTCTGTGGGTGTTTGTGCTTCCGACGACCACTCGTGTTTTTGCGGACCGGAATAAGCGCCACATCCGGATCATCCTCCAAACATTCGATATCTTCGTCGAAATCTACCGATAATTGTCTCTGTATTATGACAGAGTTATGTCCCTTCTTTGGAGTTGTTTCTGTAGTGACCACCACTTCCGACCCCTGGTCCTGGTCTATCTGAGGTAACTGCATGCTGTCCTGCACGTGAATTGCACCAGACTGGTCAATACCGATAACGGGCGGTGTACAATGAAACGTGGTGGTTGTCGTGTAATCTGACGGCTGATTTGCGGCGACCACGATATCAATTGAGTCTTCGTTCGGTAAATCATTTACAATCGAAATTATCTTGGATTTATTGTTGATATTTCGGACAGATTCCTCACGGGAGCGATGGCAGTATTGTAGTCGAACCAGCCCAGTCCTGGGGATCGTTACCGTCTGTCCGCCCGGACCCTCCGTGTCTAAACTACTGTCCGAGGGAACGGAAACGGCCAGTTTGGTGTTTTTATGGAAACGGTTCACTGGATGTGAGGATATGCGCGGGAAACGAATGTTTGTGTCATTGTATAGGACAGGATGGTCACTAGATCGAGTTAGCTCCCTTCTTCGACGTGATTCGTGATCAAACACGGAAAGTAAAATATTGTCACTGTCAAAAAATCGTTCAATTTGTGGATTGTCGGCCTGAATGTTCCGCTCGGGCTCGTTGCCCCATCTGTCGCTCAGAGCACTGACGTCATCAACGGTGCAGACACCAACAACTTGCCTTCGCCTCGTTGTTGCCTGTGCATGCCCGACTGGTTTATAGAGGCTGTGCCTCCGGCGGTCCTGAAAGTAGAAAATGACAAAAATATCAAAATGAGATTTTGAACGGTGTTTTTATGTCTATGTGAATTCCACTTGGTGTAGTTTAATGCATAGAATGCCTGTTATCATTGCTATCATGTAATTGTAAATGTTTGATGGGAGAAGGCTATGGTACAACTGTAAGTTGTGATAACTTGTGCCAAATACCTTGTTAAATTTTAATTTGCAACTGTCTTAAGGTACGTATTAACCGAGCTTCAGAATGGAATAAGTGATTGTTCTCGGGCAATAAAGATATAAATTGATAAACACTACAGAATTAAACTATAACATTTCTATACAATTGTGCTCACATTTTTAGGTCACCTGAGACAAAGTCTCAAGTGACCTATTGCGATCGCCTTTTGTCCGTCGTCATCCGTCGTCCGTCGTCCGTCGTGCGTCCGTAAACAATTTACATTTTCGACTTCTTTTCCAAAACCCCTGAACCAATTTCAATGAAATTTTGCAGAAACTTTCCATGGCCAAAGGTCAACTAAAATTGTGAATTGTATGGTCCCCAGCCCCCAGGTGCTTGAGGGGCGGGGCCAAAAAGGGTCAAATTGACTAAAATTTCAAAAATCTTCGTCTCAGGATCCAGATATGGTAGAATCAAATACTCTTCATAGATAGAAGGGTCTTAAGGTGCTTTACTAAAATTGTGAATTTCTTGACCCTGGGGTCTCACGTTTCCCCCTGGGGAGGGGGTAAACTTTACTATAGTTTACATAAGGAAATCACATTTTGGACCAACATTTGTTTAATTGCCATTGGAAGTAATTCAATTTGGGTTAGAATTATCAGTATTGGATAGCAGTTTGATGGTATGCACATATCAGCCCTGACTGACCCCCCGGGGCTGATGGGTGGGGCCAAAAAGGGTTGAATTGACTGAAATTTCAAAAATCTTCTTCTCAAGACCCAGATATGGTAGAATCAAATACTCTTCATAGATGGAAGGGTCTTAAGGTGCTTTACCAAAATTGTGAATTTCATGACCCTGGGGTCTCGCGTTTCCCCCTGGGGAAGGAGGGGGGGGGGCAAAATTTGTTATGGTTTATAATGGCAAATGATACTTTGAATATTACATGTTGATAACTTGATTGGAATTATAACCCTAAGTTGACAGTTTGATACTTTGTAAATTTTGAGCCATCCCTACCCCCAAGGGCTGTAGGGTGGGGCCCAATGGAGTCTGTGTGCTAAAACAAAATTTCTTCATTTTCCTTGTTTAGAATCAGAGGTGCTAGTTTCAAATACTTTTCAGTCTTAAATCTGCATGCTAGATATTGAATAAGGTGGTTTTATTGTTTTTTTGTCACTTTGAATAATATTTCTGTTCATGTTAAAAACAAAAATCAACTCTCTGTATAAATAAATCAGGTGACCGTTAAGGCCCATGCGCCTCTTGTTAAACAAATTACCAAGATCAAACGGCAACGGTACACTTTTACTCATCTAATCTGGTCTAACTTTCACTACAGTCAGGTCTACACAGACACACCTACAGTCAGGTCTACACAGACACACCTACATTCAGGTCTACGAAGACACACCTACATTCAGATCTACACAGACACACCTACAGTCAGATATACACAGACACCCCTACAGTCAGATCTACACAGACACACCTACAGTCAGGTCTACACAGACCCACCTCCAGCCAGATCTACACAGACACATCTACAGTCAGATCTACACAGACACATCTACAGTCAGAGCTACACAGACACCTTCAGTCAGGTCTACACAGACACAACTACAGTCAGATATACACAGATACCTATAGTCAGCTCTACACCGACACCTACAGTCAGACATACACAGACACACCTACAGTCAGATCTACAGTCAGATCTACACAGACACACCTACAGTCAGATAGACACAGACACTCCTACAGTCAGATCTACACAGACACACCTACAGCCAGATATAAACATACACCTACAGTCAGATATATACATACACCAACAGTCAGACATACACAGACACCTACAGTCAGGTCTACACAGACACACCTACATTCAGGTCTACAAAGACACACCTACATTCAGATCTACACAGACACACCTACAGTCAGATAGACACAGACACTCCTACAGTCAGATCTACACAGACACACCTACAGTCAGATCTACACAGACACATCTACAGTCAGATCTACACAGACACCTTCAGTCAGGTCTACACAGACACACCTACAGTCAGATATACACAGATACCTATAGTCAGCTCTACACCGACACCTACAGTCAGACATACACAGACACACCTACAGTCAGATCTACAGTCAGATCTACACAGACACACCTACAGTAAGGTCTACACAGACACATCTACAGTTAGATCTACACAGACACACCTACAGTCAGATCTACACAGACACACCTACAGTCAGGTCTACACAGACACACCTACAGTCAGGTCTACGAAGACACCTACAGTCAGGTCTACACAGACACATATACAGTCAGATATACACAGATACACCTACAGTCAGATATACACAGACACATCTACAGTCAGGTCTACACAGACACACCTACAGTCAGATATGCACAGACACATCTACAGTCAGATATACACAGACACATCTACAGTCAGATATACACAGACACCTACAGTCAGGTCTACACAGACACACCTACAGTCATATATGCACAGACACATCTACAGTCAGATATACACAGACCCCTACAGTCAGGTCTACACAGACACATCTACAGTCAGGTATACACAGACACACCTACAGTCAGATATACACAAACACACCTGCAGTCAGATCTACACAGACACACCTACAGTCAGGTCTACACAGACACTCCTACAGTCAGATATACACAGACACCTACAGTCAGATCTACACAGACACACCTACAGTCAGATATACACAGATACACCTACAGTCCGATATACACAGACACACCTACAGTCAGATATACACAAACACACCTGCAGTCAGATCTACACAGACACACCTACAGTCAGATATATACAGACACACCTACAGTCAGATATACACATACACACCTACAGTCAGATATACACAGATACACCTACAGTCAGATCTACACAGACACACCTACAGTCAGATATACA